CCCCTTCGAGGGGTTGAAAACAAACAACCTTCGAAGGAGCGTGGACTGTTTGCCTTACACTGTCTGCCTCCCTCCTCCCCCCTAGCACTGCCTCCGCCGGCACGCCGGCCGGCCGGTTGGCGGACTATGAAAGGGACTATGAAAGCAGCCAATCAAATGCGTAAGCGCCGATCTACACCGAGTACCATTCGCACTGTCCTGTCAGTCCTGTCTCGAACTCTCTGAAAGGGGAAATATTTGTTTCAAAGGAGTGGAGTGTTAGCCGTTTACTACAACTTCGCCGAAGAAGGAGGGAAGCCCGGCGTTAGGCGGGAGACCCGCTTGGTTGAATGATACGCAGTGGATCGCCGTTGCTTTGCATCTCTCCTCCCAATGAGTCTGGTAATCGAAAAGCTGACGGGCTTGGTTGACCTCAGAGGGTACTGATTTGTGCTGCGGTCGATCAACCAGGAAGAGCCAGTTAGTCAAGTCCTTCGATGCTAATGGGGAACGCCTAGACATTGTCCAATTCTAAGCATGGAGAAGTTGACAAGAAGAATGGGTTCATCCATAAACCGAAGCTTCGATTCATAAAAGGAACCAATGGTCGAAACATTCAGTAACAATAGTTGGAAATGAACGGGGAGCGTAGATGGTGTACACAATGGCCTGCGGCGCACACTCATACCCACGGTCTTGGAATCGGTAGAAATTAAGCCAGGAAGCTTTTTTGCTTCTTTTTCAAGTGAGTCTTAGTAGTCTTGAAGGGGTGACGGAACTCCTCCCCGAATGCTCACGGCAAGCGGCAGTCGTTCCGCGTCGACTGCCATGTCCTTACACTGAGAAATCAGATCTTCCCCTTCAAAGCGCGCGATCGAGTGCGGCGAGCGCGGCACGCGGTTAGGGGAGAAGGTACCAGACTCGTCCTGAAGCATCCATTTTTCAGCTCTAATTATCTTATGTCTGAGACAAATTCCTTGAGCCTTCCAGGCCACCATTATGTAGCCATTTTATTACCGAAAAAAATTTCAGGTATTGATATTCTTTTCGAGACAGTTATTGAGTCTTTTTAATCACGACCCTCGATTTTCCCTTGGACATCTTGACCCTGAAGTATTTTACCTCGTTCTGTGATTCCTTTATTCTGAACTCACTCCTACACTGAAAGTTTGTGGGTAGTTTCTCCTTTTAGTCCTGTCTAGGGACTTACTTCTATTTCAATATCAACTTAAGTGAACGGACACCTTACCTTGACTTCTTTCTTATTACCTCCTCCAACCGCACATGGAATGAGAGCAATAATGGCAAGTACGAGAACTACACATATGATGCCCAATATAATAATCAGGAGCATACTAAAAAAGAATGCACCATGTTTGTGAGAAATAACTGACGGTAGAATGTAACTCAGAGACGGAAAATGTGGGACATAATTCATTATGACAATCGGTCCCACGGCTGCTTGTTCCCTGACTTTCCCACCTTGGCAGTGCCTAACACTATTTATTTTCATGACGAATATATTTCGGGGATGAAGTACTGGGTTGTTCGATTTTTTCTGGAATGTTCCTACCGTCTTCAGGGAACCGCTGTGTGAGCGCACCACCTACGTGTATGTGCATCACGTATCTGGCTCTTTCTTACGTGCTTCCCTTTTATTGTAGTTACACCATGTGCGACCCTGTGACCCCTAATTAAGACTCCCCTGTTACTTCAAGATTTACGGCCACTCCGCCGCTGAAATGCATACCCCGAGTTCCTTTTTGTGGATCTAATATTATAAAGAGACGCTTCCAATTTGGTTCAGACAAACAGGCCTCATCTTTGAAGCCCCTCCAAGAAGTTCTGAGCACGACTGGCTCCGAAGCTTCAATTTCTGGAATGATGTATAAGATGAGGCTCGCTCTTATTATCTTCATGGTGATTACATGAAATTTGCAGCTTGCTACAGGGAAGACCTGCCTCAAAAATTTGTGACAGGGTTGTTTTCTTAAACTCTTCACGAAGTTTGGATACAAGTTCCATATGCTGACGCTTAGTCCCCTCAGAGTGTTTCGTGAAGAATTCAAGAGAACAACTCAGTAATAGAGCGACTATGCCGAGGTCTGTAGAAGGCCGTACGTGGAAGTTATTTATGACAGGCACTTTCTGATCACCACAAAGAAAAAACTCCTTATAGTGGGTAACATTCTCAGTAGTAGTTTATGATACTATGATCCTATTGCTATCACAGGATCACGGCGCAATTGGCCATTCAACACAAGACTTACCTATGTCCATGCGGTGTAGTAGCATCCTTCTTCACTTCTTTCTGCAACGCAGTAAACATCAAAAGTATTCGAGGCAGTTTTATGGTGATCCTACACTGATGAATCCTTCCTAGCCGTATTACATATACTGTCCGTCGGAAAAAAATATCACTAGTTAGCCCGCGTGGTGAGTAAATCAGGTGAGCTGACTATATTGCATCACGCATGTTAGGTTGGCAAAGAAGTCCTGCGGCAAAATTGAAGCCACTTTGAAATTTTTTATTTTTATTTTCTGGAATTATCATGAATCACTGGTGCCTTTTGTCAGGTAGTAAGGAAACTGTGACTCAAAGACACCGTCCGTCCATTGGCGGCAATGCTGCGGAAGCCTGCGTAGGTGCCCTTTTTCAGTTATGTTTTGGTCGACAGGGAAATGTCCTAGAAGTTGGTTACCCCTGCTAGTGTGTTCACATTGTTTATACAAATTTACAACGCTTTGAATTTTTTGTCGAAGAATTTTCCTGCCAACCCCGTAGGAAGGTATACGAATCCACACAGAGCTCCTCAGATCTCTTGCGCCCTAGCTGGTCATTTAGTAACCGCCAATCGATTTCAGCTAGTAGAAAAGTTGTTTGTGCCCCTAGAAAATGCGTATTTAATAAGAATATGCTTTTCGCTAAAAATATGGTTTTAGACGTCTTTCTCTTATCGCGTTAGCCAAATATTGGGCTCAACCGTACCTACTCACTCTGTATTAATTGCAATGTACATATACTGGAGGGATGTCGCAATCCCATTCCTACGAAGGTGCAAATGGACTCGAAACGTACCGTTGTCGTTTCGCTATCATCTGCTATACCTCGCTCTAACTGTTGCCTTGCAGTTGTGACAGTCTCCGAATCCCCGATTGAGCCACTATTTTCAGTAACTGCTTCGCTCTCAGATGCCATAGTTGTAATAGTTGTTTCGCTCTCGGAAGCCTCAAGGGTAACTGATTCGTTCTTGGAAGTCTCAATAGTAGTAATAGTGGTGGTAGAAGCTGCCACGTTTGCTGATGCTCCTTCAGAACTGACTGCTACGCTTGCTGTTACTTCTGATAATGAGGTGATTGGATCTGGTATGGATGTGATGTTAGCGTCGGACACGGCAGCTGAAAATATTTTACTGTATTCTTTCCATTAGGTTTAAAAAAGGAGCCTTGCTAGCTTTCCCGAAAACAACCTATTTTGAAATTACCTGTTTCATGCAGTATGGTGACGATTTGCCGTTGGCGTCTGTGTGGGTGGGTGATGTCGGTGGTGGGTAGGTGTGTACGTTATGCGCACGTGCACGTATACGTGTGAGTGAGTGTGTGTTGTTGTGTTGGAATGTATAGATTCATAGCTTCTGTTCCCTCTGGCTTGAAGTGTGCAAATTTGGAGAGAAAAGGGGCGGAAACACCTTCGCGGAGCGAATGGTAAAAGGATAAAGGATGAAGTTTTTGGCGTTAATTAATCCCGTCTGAGGGATGCCCCTCGACTTCCATTCTGAATCGTAGTGGCGTAATGAGTGCGTATGTGGCCAATACAATGACTTGCGGTAGCCAGCCAATGTACAAGCCATTGCTTTTATCCTCGCAGACAAGTCTGGTACCTATTCACCGACCCCGGAGGGATGGAAGGCTTGGTTGGCCTAGGCGGACATCGATCCGGGATTCAAACCCCTGACCGTGGGTGTGATACAGTGCGCCACTTGCCACTAAACACCTCCCCCCCGAATGTTACCCACGTAAAAATATGCAGTCAAGTTGAACTGATCAGTACATAAACCATGTTACTCAAACACACATTGCACCAGCTGAACTCTGCTCACGGCAGAGATGGCGGAGAGGTGGCTTACCGAAAATCCATCCCTCCTGTTCTTGTGGACCCAGAGCGTTGGGATTGGAAAGGGATACAGGAAATAAGCGAGCATTAAGACAAGTAGGAGCAAAACCTGGCGTGCGTCGAGCGATCTGGCTGGTATAATTATGAGCAAGTAAAAAGGCTCTGTAGCAGCTACAGCATAAAAGCGAGTAAACAGATTGCCACAACCTTGGTTAGTCCTGAACTTCCTCTTGCTAGCTCGTGCCAATAATTACGTGGTGATGGCTTCCTCTGCAGAGCCATACGCCCCTATTGTGCTTTTTTGCATTCGTAGAGAAAAAGAAGGATACCCAGAACAAATACGGTGTGTTTTGTTATACACGTACCTCTCTTCTTCAGAAAATGCTTAAGAACACGCTTCTCTTCTGGACCTGCCTTGGAGATATAGTTCTGGAAAGTATGCTATCCATTTGGGTTTTGGTGAGAGTTTACTACTCAGATCACTCTCGAGAGCTTTCCCATGTATCCAATGCAGCCTCCGTTGAAAGAGGGCTTTTTCTTTTAATGTAAAACTGCGGGTAGTCCAATTTTGTTAAGCCAATCATTAGCCTATTTTTTATGTGAACTAGAATGCTTCGATAAACTGATTAATTCGTAAAAAGTAATGATACCTTGAATGTTTCTGCTTGTGTATGACATATAAATGAAGTATTGCAATAGCAATTTGCAGAACCTTTCTTAATCCCAGCAATTTTCGCTTAAATAAATAAAAGTTTAGAGCATAAAAAGTGGCAGTTACTTACTTGTTCCACATAAAAGCTTCCATGGCAAAAGAATATTGTAATAGGTCATTATAGTTTTTGATTTTAACTGCTTTTCAATTAAAACACATATCCACCTTCTCTGTCATCAACAATCAACTGGGCTCGTCGATGGTCTCCACGGTCATAGACTTCGCAAAACACTTCACTCGAGAAATTCTGAATAATGAATAGTATGGGCTTCCACTGTCTTTTGACTCCTAGTAACCCTCTTCTCAGCACAAAACATTACTCGCTACAATTGTCGCTACAAGGTGGATGAAAGCGAGAGTGGTAGATAAGGACAGAAAAAAATTAATATGAGCTCCCAATCAGAGAAGAGGTAAGGTGTGGAAGGAATGAAGGGGACAAGAGGAGAGAAGGATCATGAATCACTCAATTCGACTTGAGAGGCGAAAAATGAGAACCATGAAATACCAGGTATTCGAAAATCACCATGCCAGAAGAAGAGCTAGCCGGCAGAAAGCAAGACTACCATTCTTTAAGAGAATTTTCAAGTTTTGAGTTGCAAAAACGACCAAACTGTGATCTCCTGAGAGGCGTACTTTGAGGGATCCTGTAAATCCTTCTTCCGTCACTAAAATCCGACGTCCTTTGCGTTTGAAATTATAGTACGAAGAGCAGGTTTGATAATCTGTTGCAGGCCTTTCCTGGACAATTTTTTTTTCAGAAATTCGTGATTGTAATGGGGAACGAATATCCTGGTATATAGAAAACACAAACCAACCCGTATCTGATGATTAAAAGCTTTTTGAATCACCTGCTCTGTCTGGTCATCTGTATAGCATTGTATCGCCTCGGCTAACAAGACGTAAGTGGCAAGTACGGAACACCAGATAAGATTCTCTAAATAGGAACTTTGTTTCACTCGAAACTTGAATGATGAGCCGTCTCAGATTGGTATAGATCGTCGTCATTATTTTATCGAATAGATTCAGATTCATTCGTCGAACTCGCTACTTGCTGATTGAGGTGCTACAGGAAATTTCAACGAAAGGCTAGAGGCGATCTGAACTTTCTCATGGCTAACAATCGCCATTCACTACTGAGATTCATCAGTACTATAACGTAACTCTTCTTATCATAAGTATAAGGAATTCTGTAGCGAATCTCATTCGCTACAGAGCCTTTGGAGACAACGGGACCTGTCAGCTATGTATGAGCATGAGTCCCTAGTTCGAACGCATCTTCTGATTTGCTTGAGGTATCTAGTATGAGCTCGTGGCACAAGAATATCACGAAATATTTGAAGCTTCCATTTGAGTGAGAGTCCAAAATCATTGAATCCACCACCCTTCAATCGTCCAGAGCGCCTACGGCTCCTCTGCTATTCTCATAACATCACCAATGAAATTTAGTGACTGATGCATCCACGCTCAATTCCGAAAAATGAAAAGTTTGAGTAGTGTAATCGATTCTCAGTATATTTCTTAAGAGGGTATAGGCGGTATAGCAAAACTTACTTTTTGAGACCAACAACAATGGTGGCATGTCACTTCTGCACGACTCCAAGCCGAACGAGTAGCGAGTGATCACCACTTTGGGATACGGGTAACCTGAAATGAACTACGCTTGGAAATCACAAAGCTTCTGTTGTTTACTAGAGTGTGCGGAGGTGGATTACTCACTTGATAGTGCCAGCTCTCCTACTTCACTTTTCAGCCCATCCTGTGCACAGTGCCCAATCCGTCCCAGGCGTCTCATATAGCACAAATCTCACATTCGCAGACTTATGAACCTGGTGGGATAAGAGGGAGAGACGGTCAAGGGGAGCTCGTCACATGCGACCCATCAAAGAAATTAAGGGGTAAGCCTACCTATTATAAAACGGGCTGGATCGTTGCTCACCATCAGTTGGGCACCTTAATCAGGGCATCGATACCTCACCAAATCCCAAATGTCGAAATCAACGAAGGCAATTGGGACGCGTCACGAGGTCCCTGAGAGCAGTGATTAAAAACAATGATCTTGCCCATAACGGACCCTCATAGACCCCAGAATCTTACTATGACCCAATCACAAAATACAAATCATAACCTACGCTGGTATCGCCCCTACTTACAGTATCTACAGTACAGAAACAGATTTCTTCACTTATGCGGTGTGAACGAATTATAGGATCAAGGATAAAGGAACTCAATAGACGGCAACAGGGGGCTTCGGCGACGGGGGCTGGTGAATACAAGGTGTTTCGAGTTGGGGGCTTGGGCCAACTCTTTGAATCGCATCGTTGTCCCTAGCCACATGAGCTTGGAGCCGCATTGCCTTTGGTTTTTAAATTAGTCTTACTGCCACCTCCGTCCTTGGGGAAAGAGCTAGAGAAAAGGACCTTATTGGAAACCGAACAAATTAGTATTGGTGTCTCGAACGTACCGTCGCCTTAAACTCGTTTTCTACCACGTGCTTTGCTGTTGAGCTTTTCCTATTCTTTACGCAATGTGAGCTGAATCATTGGCATGGTTCATGTTCCTTTCCGGTCTTTCAGAAACAACAGCTCAGGCGTAAACGAGGGGCCAACCCAGCCTCCTCATCAGCATTAGTCGTGGTTCTTTTTGGTTCCACAGTATCGAATAAATTGAACTCGTGGAGTGTGGTGACTAGTATGCCCTTCGTAGAGGAGCAACTTCTGTCCACAAGGCTTGCTCATTTTTCATCTCCTGCTGGAAAGGAATTGTGGTGTTATTCTTTTTCTGCTGGCCAACCTAAATTCATTTCCATACATGAACCTGACTTCATGCCGTCGAAACGGGGTATAACCTTAAACAAAAAGTCAGGAAGTATTTGAAAGAGGGCCTGCGGTTAGAAAAAAGTTGGATTGGATTAGAAGTGAAGATGTCAGCCGGTCATCAGACAGCTCCCAAAGCTGAAGAAGGAAGAAAAGTACGTGCGATGGCATAGGCTTTTGCTGCTGAGGAAGGAGATGATCTGGTTAGTGAAGCAGAGAAGATTGGAACTCGAAGCTGTAGGGAAGCAACCACGGGGCATGTGGAAAAAATGGAGGGACGCGGTCATGTAGGACTTCTCTGAAGTCAAGGTACTGGCAGAGTAGGTCGTAGAGCGAATTATGCGGTTACAGCTAACCAGAACACCAGAACAATGGACAGCTACTGCGGAGATCACCGAGGAGAGGAAGGAAAAGAGGAGTGACTGGATTTAAAATCAAAAATTCAGAGTAGTCGCAAATGAATCTTTCGAAAGCTCCCAAGTGCAAGATAGTAAGCAACAAGCTAGGATTCAGCAGTAACCATTCGCAGATTTAACAGTGACTGTTAAATGTGCAGTTACGTAATATGTACAAAACAGCGCGACAGGAGTTTGTACAGGCGAAGTGGAAGGAGTCACGTAAACTAACACCTGAGATCACAAAACCGAATAGTTATAGGACACAAAACGGAAGGCCAGAATCACAAAGGCATTTTACTGGAAATGCTGAGAATGGTGACAACATCAAACTTTAACTGATCCGCAATAGGCTTTACAGCCGTGCATGTCCTACGGATAACAGCGTCTAAGTATGTCTGTTGATTTGTCGGTGCATTTGTTTGTGTGTGTGTCTGTGTGTCGGTGTGTGTGTTTGACCGGCAATTCATAGCTCCTGTTCCTGTGGACCTAGAGCGTTCCACTTTGGTTGGAGTACAGGCGACAGTATCAGAACACTCATGGCAGGTAGCAGGGCCAGACTCCGCCCACACAGGGCGGGTTGCACGTGATATAGTTTTTGACCCTATTTCAAAGTCCTGTTTACGAGGACCTGGAGCGTGGAAATTTGGTAGGAGTATAGGCTACAGCAGGGGAACACTCATGACAGGAAGCAGAACCAGACTCCGCCCACAGGGAGTGGGGTTTGCGCGAAACGAATGATCGAGCGGAGATTCTTTTCCTGTTCCCCTGGACGTAAAGAGTTCGAATTTTGTAGGATTATAGTTTTTCGTCTTAACAGTGGAAACTCGCCATTTTGCTAAGTGATGTAGGATATGAGGATCGTAGGTACTTGATGACCGGAAACGATGACAACTGATAAGTGAAAATAAGGGACCTAGGAGAGCAAGAGTGACCAACCTATCAAAATTCTAACCTTTCGGTATTTACGGTGTAGCTTTGGCTGTTCAGGTATGTTCCATTCGAAAAGATGGGATGGTAGGGTAGGATGACGAAAAAGAGTGATAAGCTTACTGGTAGGGACCCATTAGCAGCACCACGCTGAGCAGATGAGAATTTTTTTCATTTCTTGTTACTAGATTCCGACCGCTACCCAGCAGGATTTGGTTCGACATCATTTACGACAAAACTCAATCGACCGCCAGTGATCTGGAATACTCAACTAATGATATATATGTGTAGAAAAAGGTCCATTGATGAAGACATCTGATAACGGTGTTACCACCGCGTCCTGTGTCAGACTTCGTGTACAGGAAAGTATTATTCATTCAAAGAAGGAGGAGAAAGTTGCCTATTACTACAAGTTTGTCGAAGAAGGAGGGAAGCCCGTTACAATACACCAATTGGGCGACGCACGCTCATGCGTGCACCTCATGCCCACCATTATCATATGTCGTTATTACTGGACCTTCTTTCCTCCACGGGTACATCATTACTTNTATCAAAACACAAAGTAACTTTGATCTCCCACCGAGTTACAAACCTTGCTGGGTAGCGGTCGTAATCTATATTATAGCCGTAGTCATAAATACATCGTAAAAACCACAGGAGTCAAATTCAGTCAATAAGGGCCCTTATCAGTCGTTACCAGCTGTTATCAGTTCCTATCATCGATCGTCTACGATCCCGCCATACTCCACAACACATACCAAACTGTCAAGGCTCCAGTATTAATGCCATCATTATAGTGGCTCTACGCTTTGCAGGATTTTCATTAGCCCTTTCAGTTTTATCGGCCACTGGCCTGACACCAACCATTCTCGATCCCGTCACCGAGTACCTACGATCCTGCTACATCTTACATAACCTATTAATTTCAAAAACCATTATTAATAGAAAGTGCGTTACAGATCTAGTAGCTCTCGCCTTCTATGGTTTCTTATCAGTCCCTATCAGTTGCTATCATTCCTTGTCACCAATCATTTACGGTCTCTTCACACCCTACATCACCTTCCAAAGTGTCAAGACTTCATCGTTAATACAAAGAGAAATATGGGTCCTGTAGCTTTTGCCTTTTGAGGCTCCTTATCAGTTTCTATATATAGTTGCCACTTCCTTTCACCCACAATCAGTGGTCAAAGACATCTAGCAGGAAAAAGACGTGGAAGTCCGCAAACACAACTTGGGAAGCACCGACTACAGGGCATCACGGCAGTAACTTTGACATCGAATGTAAAGTCCTAGCCTACCGGTGTTAGAAAGATACTGTAAGTTTACATATCCGCGCGAAAAATCCATGGCTAAACAACCGAAATGAGTGCTTAGCCGTGATAAGTGAACTCTTGCTATTCATTCCCTTCTGTGGGCTTTGAGATTACCGGCATAATTCTTAGTATCAGTGATGTCTCTTTGGTCCCTTGTTGCTCACATATAGCGGGACGTAACACTGGTGGAACCGCAGAAGGTTGGTCATTTTGCTGGGAGCTTATCGAAGTTCGAGTTTCAAGGAGTTGTTGCAACTAGTCTAATGTGTTTGGTCGCTTGGCCGGGTAAGTCACAGATTAGGAGCCTCGAACTATTATATTTTCAGGTCCTGAAGACGACGATTCAGTCGAAACGTTGACCATTAGAGCGGTTCAACCATAATAAACTTGTATAGCAGAGCAGTAAAGTACATTGTGTAAAATGCCCAGGTTTCAGGAAGACCGAACGTGAAACTAGGATTCAGCTTTATTATTGAAAAAAAAACGTGAAGATCAGCATCTAGTGTGTACTGTAACGTTTTTATCGAGTGCTTTTTTGTTTGGTTGTTTACTTCTTCACGTAAAATCTGAAAAATAGCCCCTGCCTTTTCATATCCCCCCATCTTTTTCATCCAAATGACCCATTTTAGATACAAAAGCCCCGAATGGATCTCTTCCTCCATCAGAAGGATTCGGTGTAGACGAATCTTGTGAGCCTCCTCCTTTACTTTTTGCTTCCTTCTTTTCTTTTTCTTTCTTTTCTTTTTCCTCCTTTTCCAACTGCTCTCCTGCCTTCTTTACACGTTGATCCCACGTTTTTTCGAGCCATCTCTAGGAAACTACTTTTCAACTCAATGAAAATAAAAGGTAAAGAGTAAATAAACCAAAAAATTAAACAATAAGTGATAAATAGTCATTACCCTGCGTCGCTTCTTGCGATATTTAATCAAGATCGGAACAAGAGCAATGATGGCGATGATAATTAGCACGACCAAAGCACCCAGTCCCAAAATCAGTAGCAGGCTGAAAACGGTTATACTGCTCGTAGCATCGCACGGATCGTCATAGGTAAATGGTCTCCAAAAATGGCTAAAGTCGCGGAGTGGCGGAATTGTAAGTATAGACGCTGAGGCAGTGTGATGACTCCACCTGAACGCTTTAATGCTGTCACTAAATTCTACGATTAAGAAGTTGTAAATAAAGTTTGGGCGTGGAGAGAAGGGGTCGGTTGGATGGGGTTTTGCTGAGTTGCATCTATACTTCGCTGGTGCAGAAGCGAAGTATGAATGCGCTTCGCGCGCTTCAGTAGGTTGCCGGGGTTATGTCCAGTGCTGCCTCCGGAATAGGCCACCCAACTGACTC